GGCAGAGGCAGGTGGATCTCCCGGTTTGAGGCCAGCCTGGTCTACAGAGTGAGTTCCAGGGCAGCCAGGGCTACACAGAAAAACCCTGTCTTGAAAAAAAGAGGACAGATACAATGCGTTCACCCACAGGGCTTCCAATGTCCAGTTACTGCTAAGACTAACAGCAAATAGTCAGTTTGGTTCCTTCGGCTTCTTTTTGAAAAACTTAACTGTTTAAGGTTTTTATTTTATTTGTTCCATCAAGTATCAATCTTTGTGCAAGTGAAGACATTTAAGAGTAAAACAGATTGTAATCTACTGGAAATAGAAAAGGGTATTGTATGGCATCAAGAACAAAAGAAGGGAGAAAGGGCTGTAACTCCCGGATAAGACATTCAGCTATGAGGGTTTTTGGCAACTAAGATAAAAATGAAGCACATTGAATTACACAGTTTTCATTTTCTGACACAACATAAAGATGTAACTTCATCACAGAGGCAAATTGTCCTGGAACTAATGCAAGCAATAACTCATAAGGAGGCTTTCTTTCTTTCCTCCCTCCCTCCCTCCCTCCCTCCCTCCCTCCCTCCCTCCCTCCCTCCTTCCTTCTTCCTGTCTATAAAGCATGGCAGATCTGCTTCACACTGACCACAATCAGTTTCACCTGCACCAGCAGGACCCCGATGACTACCAGTGGACCACAATAAAGACTGAAACACAGAATACACAGCAGCACTTACATTCCTTCAGTAGTCTTACAAAAAGCAAGAGATCATGTTGGATTTTGTACTGATCTCATAACAGCTAAGAGCACAACAATAAATTTGCCTCAATAGAAGGAATTATCTGAGATACCTTGTCTTTTACTGCATTTTAGTTTCACTGAATACAGAAACAAAAAAACAAAAAGGAGAACACAGAATGAAGAGGTTTCTCTATACAGCCTTTGCTGTCCTAGAACTCCCTCTATCCACCTGCCTATCTGCCTGCCTCTGCCTCCCAAGTGCTGGAGTTAAGGTGTGCGCCACTACGCCTGTACTGTATGTGTGTGTGTATGGTTAGGGATAGACACACACAGGATACATATATATGATTTTTCAAGACAGGGTTTCTCTGTGTAATAGCTCTGACTGTCCTGGAACTTGTTCTGTAGAAAAGGTTGGCCTCAAACCCACAGGGATCACCTGCCTCCCTGCCTCCAGAATGCTGGGATTAAGGGCGTGTGCTCCATTGCCAGGCTCCAGTATACATTTTTATAACACTAACTCAGAAAATGAAACTTTGTATGATCAGACTCCAGATGTTTTAGAAATGACAATTTGGAACTGCCCTACTTGGTGCTTTTTTCATTTACCAGCAATTGTCAGCATGTGACTTGGATTTAGCTCCCGTTCCAAACACGTACAGCCATTGCGCGAGAGAACTCAGTAGTCTGCTAAAGGCTGGAGCTGGAACCCTAACTCAGAACAGGATCTGAGGGACTTTAAAGTGTTCATTTGCTTCCTATCTGAACCACTAACTTAAGCTTTTGGAATTTAGCTGGTGAAAACCATGATTTACTTAAGTGATACCCCAGGGCCTTGAAGGAGCGTAACAAGCCAGGAGCCTTGGTTGCCTTTAGTTAGGTTTTTGTCACTGGGACAAAATGCCTGAGGAAACAACTGAAGGGAAGATGGATTATTTCAGTTCACAGCTTTTTAGTTATTATTTGGACTCATGAGTAATGTAGCTTTAAGTTTGATGTATAAAATGTATAAATACAATTGCTTTTATAATTTTCAAAGTGTAGCATAATCTTTTAGAATTAAATGAGACTTGCCATTCTGAAAAGAAAACGTCTTATACAGCTTTACGATGGAAAAGAAATCTTCGGTTATGATCCCTTAACTATTCATATTTAAAAACACACTCGGGCTAACTCAGGTGCTCATAGTGAAGAAACAATTGCTGGGAGGCAGAATTCTAGGGCATAAGTGATGGCTGTACTGATGGAGATGGCCCAGAGTGAAAGACAGAAAGAAGAAAGACTGAGGATCTGCCAAGGAGCTTTCCCTTGTTCTGCCATCTGTTCCTGAAGGGCTTATCTACCTCCAGTCTCTTCTAATCTGCAGTCCAGAGGCTTGAGATAGAGCTCACCTGAAAGCTCGCCTAGCACGGATGAAGTCCGAGTTTCGTCTCAGGATAATGGTAGACGTATCTTGAAATCTTAGTACTTGGTAGGTGGAGGTAGGAGGCTCACAAGTTCAAGGTTTGGCTACACAGTGAATTTGTGGCTAATCTGGGTTACATAAGACTGTATTAAAAAGCAAAGGGAGGGGGCTGAGATGGCTCAGTGGTTAAGTGGCTGTTCTTCTAGAGGTCCAGAGTTCAATTCCCAGCAGACACATGGCTCACATCCATCTGTAATGAGATCTGGTGCCCTCTTCTGACATGTAGTCAAGTAAATATTTAAAAAAGAAAGAGAGTGAGAGAGAGAAGGAGGAGGAGGAGGAGGAGGAGGAAGAAGAGGAGGAGGAGGAAGAAGAGGAGGAGGAGCAGGAGGAGGGCTGAGCAAGCCGTGAGAAGCACAAACAGCAGCTCTCCATAGCCTCTGAATCAATTCCTCCCTTCTGAGATCCTGCCCTATTTGAGTTCCTGCCCTGACAATGCTGAAGGGTTAGCCAAATAAACCCTTTCCTCCCCAGTTTTCTAAATAAATAAATAAATAAAAATTAAAAAAAATTAAAAAAAGCAAGGGGAAAATATCAATTCAGTGAGTTTCACTATTTAGCACAGCCTCCGCCTCAGCATCTAGAGTGCTGTCTCAAGGCAAGCTTTGTCATGATTGCCCCCGCTTGACTCTTCTACCATGGCAGAAGAAGATATAAAAGATACCTCTAAGAGAATTCACCCCCAAAGCCATTTCTTTTTTTCTTGAATATGATTTTAATTTATGTGTATGTGTGTGCCTGCTTGTGAATCATATACATGCCGTTGTCCACAGGAGCCAGATGTTGTTACAACTCTTAGAGCCAAGCCCAGGGTGCAACTGAGTGGTCTCTCCAGCCCTTCCCCTATTTCTAGTGAGGACAACCTTCCAGCCGCCCCCCACCACTTCTAGGACGGGCACCTCTGAAATGTTTCTCGCGACAGTCCCCCAGTCAATCTCTCTCCCCAATATTCTCTCAGTGATTCCATCCCAAACAGTTGACACACTGTTCCAGACCAGAAAACGACGTTAGTAGTCTCATAAATCAGGGATTTCTCTTGAAATGTGATATTTTAGAAATGAAATGATAGAAATGTGACCGGAAGAAGCAAAGATTACGACAGTACGCTGGAAAATGCTCTGGACTGATACACTACACTAAGGACTACCAACCGCCGGGGAGGACCAGCTCCAGGCCCTCCCTTCACTACCAACCGCCGGGGAGGACCAGCTCTAGGCCCTCCCATCACTACCAACCGCCGGGGAGGACCAGCTCTAGGCCCTCCTATCACTACCAACCGCTGGGGAGGACCAGCTCCAGGCCCTCCCATCACTGTCAGCGCTGGGGAGGACCAGCTGTGAACTGCACATAGGTGCTGAGAATTGAACCCAGGTCTTCCAGAAGAATAGCCAGTGCTCATAACTACTGAGCCATCTCTCCAGCCCAATAATGTGTTTTAAAATGTAACAACAGATGACAAAAATCATCAAATAGCTATAAAATTATAACTAGTATATTACATTGCAATATTAATATAAGAGTAAATTAAAAAATTAAAAGTAGCATAGCATGACTCAAATAGCTATCAACTGGCAAATGAACTAGTAGACTGTGTTGAAGCCATATAACATGATATAAATACTCAGTAAAGCGAAAAAAGCCAGGTGTAAAAGGCTACATGTTGCTAATTTAATTTATATGATTTTCTATAAAAGGTCAAACTACAGGTAAAGAAAATAGGGAAGTTAACGTCAAGGCACAGGACGGGGGAAAAAAGGAAGCCACCTCAAAGGAGGCATGAGAGAGTTTTGGGGGTGATGAGGTTATTTTACATATTGATGGTGGTAATAATAATATTCAAAAGAAACAAGAGAAATTAATGTCCTCAAAGTTGAATCATACTGTTTATATATCTTTTTTTTTTTTTTTGAGGTAGGGGCGCATGCATCTCAGGCTAACCTCAAACTTACTATGTAGGCAACCTTGAACTTCTGACCTTCTTGTTTCTCTTGGCTGGCTGCCTAAATGATAGGTGCTCAGCTTTATTTGGTACTTGGAATGAACCCAAGGCCTTGTGCATGCCAGGTAAGCAGGCTATCAACTGAGCTATATACCTGGCCCTGTTTATATTATCTAATAAATATGATTTAAAGCACAAAATAATCAGCTAGCACGAACTGGACTAGATAGATTTAAAAAGAGAGGAAGGGTGGAAGGAAGGGTGGGCGGTCTGGGGAAGAGTGAAACAGTAGGTTGAGAGGTGGGGGGATCTGAGGGAACGGGATGAATGTCATTAAAATATACTGCATGAAAGTTTATAATAAAGTTTATAAATTAAAAAATTAAAATTTCAAAGAATTAAAAACATTTGGCGAGCAACAATTAAAAAATATAAAAGAGCCTTACAAATCTGCCCATGGTGGTGCACACCCAGAATCCTGGCACTTAGGAGCTGAAGGAGGGGAAAGAGCTCATAGCTGTCTTGGCTAGAGCTGGAGGGCAGCCTCAGGCATGGGAGACCCACCGCCAAAGCCCTTGAATTAAAGTCCACTATTGCACAGGAGGACTGAGCGCACGGTGACAGGTGAGACAGGGCACACTGAAGAAACTTAATGTCTTATGGTAGAAACAAATAAAGCAGGTAGTGGACACACAATGTGAAAATCAGTGACGGAGATGGAAGGAAAGGCATTCCAGTAACGAGAGCTAGCTCTAGAAATACAATACATCACAGATCAAATGAGGAACACAGGACCCGGCAGCCAATCATCTTAGCGCAAACATGGATCTGGGAGTGCTCAGGAGGTGAGCACTGCACATGTGGGAAAGTACCTCTCGGTGGTTTAGAAGCTGCTCCAGATCCAGTGCCATTTGATTCTTCGTCTGCAGCAGGGCTGACTTTTCTTTATTTAGATTGCTGGAAAGAAAATAAGTTTTAAAAAGTGACCATGCTGTGTGAGTTAAGAGACAGTAAACACAAAGAATAAACATACATTTGGTGGTCTGAACTGGAGACACATGGGGTTTGTAGTCCAGACACAGCAGAGCAGATACTGTAATGTTAACTGAGCGAGTGGCTCAGTTATTGTGTAAGAGGCGTGTGACAGCGCGACTATCCTGCCTGTGTCGGCACACATCAGTGTTCCCCACTGCTCACTCCTGAAATGCTACAAGGAGGTAGGAAGGAAGAAGATGTGTACACACACACACACACACACACACACACACACACGGACATATTACAACACAGGGCATTAGAAGTCAAATGGAAGCATTTATCCCTAGAACTTACAGTGGTTTTTAACTTGTCACATAGGAAAATTTTGAAGGACATAATTTAAATAAATCAGTCTTCTCTAAACTTTGCAAAATAAATTTGTCTCCAAATTCTTAGTTCAGTATTAAATTTCTATGACTACATTGTGATTTTCTCATTGGTAAGTTCTGATTTATGATAGAGTCCCCTGTAAGATCATAATAATCCTAAGAAATGATGGTGAACTGCTTTATACTATCTGTAATTTTACTATTTGGTATACAGAAATTAATGGGAAGAATCAGATGAAATAGTCTATATAATGTCATTTGTAAAAAAAAATCTATGTGACCAGCTCTGTAAGAATTGAGAAAAGCAATAATAAATCAAAATAGCTCAGTTTCTCAAATGTTGAGACAAAAATCTGTGAGGGTGAAGTTAATGAGAAGCATTTTGTTGCAAGACATCTTCAAGTTAGTTAACAAAAAGTCACCAATTACAAAAATATTAGAAGATTTTTTTTAACTTAAATATAATGAGCACTCTGGAAGAACTGGCGAGCCCAAGGACTCAAAAAGAAAACATCCCATCTCCTCCCATGAAGTCAGCTTCCCTGCGAAGCACCTGTCTGAGGAGAGCAGGGCAGGTCTGTCTGTTTCCTACTGTGCCATTCACTCAGCTGTGCAGCCTGTAGCAGAAGAGGTTTCCACATCTGTAGAAGCGTAAGCTCCTCATGTATGTCAGAGGCTATGTGAATTACCTGGTGAATGATTACATAAAGTGCTGAACACATAAAACCCTACATAAATGCTGCACACCATTACTAACTGAGATGAAAAACAGGCTTCAGAGGAAAACAGTAATTAAATGCCAATAAAGGCGAGCAGCTCAGCAGAAAAACAAACTGACATGCAGTGGTAGGCGCCAGGGATCCTACTAAGCTGAGCAGCTGAAAAGAACAAAATGGTGTCCAGGACAAAGTGCCACGTTCCACCAGGCTCGAAGGCATGGCAAGCATCAGATGCTTCTGAAATGCTTAAATTCAAAGCTATTTGTATTTCATCTTAAGATGTGCACTCCTCAAAATGAAAGTCAAGTCCCATAAACAGAACTAGGTCTTTTCAAGGAGTGTTTAGGTTAAATGTAAGTAATACATACACAATTGCTCATGTGCAGTGTGCGCTCTCTCTCTCTCTCTCTCTCTCTCTCTCTCTCTCTCTCTCTGTCTCTCTCTCTGTCTCTCTCTCTCTCTGTTTCTCTCTCTAACACCAACAAACCCATTAAATAAAATACAGTGCAATGGGAATGGAATGTTGGAGCAATTAAAGGATTCTGACCGGATATTCTCTAGAAAAGCTTTGGCTATAGTATTTAACTCTTCAAGAATAAAGCAAGTGTTCTACAGTTAAGCAGAAAACAGGCACACACTATGGAATCCAGGCTGGGTGGATAACACAAAAAAATAACTGTGCCGTCTGAAAGAGAGCAGTTTACCACACGTACCATGGCTGCTCCAGACCACATTTCTGTGACCGGAAGACCTGGGATATACTTTCAAAGTCTTAGCCTTTGCTATGACATATCTAATTCACAAGGGACACTACTTTTAACATGGGAATTTATAAAACTCCATGTGATGACTGTTAAATCCACAATCCTGATATTATGTACTTTCTCAGCAGAAATCTAGTCTTCATAAAGACATAGTTTATAACAATGGAAACTTACTTTTAAAAATATAAAGCTTCCAAGTGTGACTCATAAAGCTAGAAAACAAACCCCCTTCTGAGCACGTCTATCTTGAATGTTATATTACACCCATAATTGTTCAATTCGCTGTTAATTATTACTTAGGAATTCATGTTTATGGCTCTGCTTCACCTGCTATATGAAAACATATTCCTGATATATTGTACCTTAACTTCCTGGATCAATATACTCTGGCTTAGCCTGTGAGAGAAGGTAACAATGTAATCTTTTCTTCTCTGACTACTAGTTAAGAGTAAACCGAGAACTGACAGAGGGAAAGAAAGCTTATGCTAATTATTCTCTTTCCCTGCTCCCCACAGACCCAAAGTAGAGATCACTCTGGACTTTCCAGACTGACTGTCTCCTGTGCGCGGTGGAGGGTTAACGTACTACTTTTAGACTAGATTACTACTTTAATGACAGGGGAATTCAAAGCAGTTACTAGCAACATCTTACAGTGAGCGTTCCGGCAGCTTCTGATGATTTTATTTCAGCACATATTGATTCTAACCTTCCTGGATACTAAGTGTACTGTATAGATAGGTCTGGCAGTGTGGCGTGGCACATTGGTATTGTGCTTGACTGAATAAATTGTATAACTTGCAAGGGTTAGCAACAGTACGAATGGCATTGTTTAATTTTAAAAGAAAATAATTCATTTCCGCAGTTCTTTTGATTGTTAAGGTCTCATGTATCCCAGGTTGGCCTAACACTCATACACAGCTGAGGATGACCATAAACAACCTTATTAACTTGTATGTGTGGAGGCATGTGTGTTCTAAGGGCCAGTGTACACGCCAATGTGGAGACCACACGAAGATAGAAGGTTTCCTCTTCTACCATTCTGCCTTATTCCCTTGGGATTGTCTTTTACTGAATCTGGAGCTAGGCTGGCAGCCAGCAAGCCCCAGTGACCCCACTTTCTGCCTTACAGGTGTGTGTGGCCACATCAAGCCTTTCCAGTTGTTTTTAAGTGGGTGCTGGGCCCTGAACTCAAGTCTTCATGTTCACACAGCAAGTCTTCTTCCCCGCCGAGCCAGGCTTGTAAGTGGCTTTTAAATGTCATCACCACTCCTTATTATTCATACACGAAGAGGCAGAGCTTATGACAGAATTCTAATGCCACAATTACACTACTTTGACTTTTCACAATAGATGACAGTTGCTTCACCTTGCAACAAGATATTACATCCAATATTAGTTCAGAATTTATTAAAATATATTATGAATTTATGAAACACCATTTTGGTAATCCAAGCATAGTGGTGTACACCTTCAGTCCCGGCATCAGGAAACAAAGGCAGGTGGATCTGTGAGTGCGAAGGAACCTGGTTTAAGTAGCCAGTTCCAGGACAGCCAGGGTTACAGTGGGACCCTGTTTCAAATAAATATTCTGATAGCTAATTCCACATTGACTTAAGATTACTGTTGCTATAATTATAGCAGTTTTACTTTTTGTCCAAATCCAACATCCTAAGAAATGTTATTTCTCATTTTTAAGATCATTATCGACACACAGATCTGTCAGGAGTCAACGACAACTGCTTAAGAGAGCCTATGATGTTTAGATGTTATGCTATACATATTAAAAACTGTATCTTAATCCTCAGACAACCAAATGAATTAGGTTAACACCACTCCCAGAGATGAAGAGATTGGCTGTGTAGTTCAATATCATCGCCGTTAGTCAAAATGACAATTAAAGTGAACATTAATTTAAATAGAACTAAGGAATTTGTTCCTCAGTAACATGTGGGAAGTGGCCATCATACTTAATAGGGCAGACATGGACATTTTTATTGTTACAGAAAGTTTGATGAGATACTGGATTTACTAATTTGCCCTGTCTGCACTGTACTTACCGAGTCAGCATGCTGCCTCCCTCGGCTTGTACTTCCTCTTACTTCTCTTACTCTTAAATTCTCTGCACACGTGTGTGAGCTGTGTAGGGTGTGTGAACATGTGAGCGCGGGTAACTGCAGAAACTAGAGGGGGAGGGTACCCTAGGGTGGGAGCACAGGCAGTGGAGCTACCACGTGCACGTGCGGGTGCTGGAAAGTGAACTCTGGTGTTCTCTGCGAGCGCAATACTGCTTTACTCCCAACCACCTACTCGTTTCTCCTGCCTGTCCAGTCTGCCCTTAAGAGGCTTTTTTAAAAACAAACAAACAAACAAACAAAAAACAAGTTTATTGGATTGGAGAGATGGCTCAGAGGTTTAGAGCACTGAATTCCATTCCCAGCAACCACTTAGTGGCTCACAACCATCTGTAATGAGACCTGGTGCCCTCTTCTGGCCTGCAGGCAGAATATAGGCAGAACACTGCATACATAATAAATAATAAATCTTAAAAAAAACCCAAAATCCCAAGTTTATTACTTTATTAAGGAGTATTTTAAAAGAGGAAAGTATAGTCCTATATATCTGTCACCCAGTTTCAACATTTATCAACTCAAAGTCTTACATTTAATAAACATTCTACTTGATCCCACTTCTCTTTCTTTGTTCTATAGTATTGAGAGAAACTGGCGATTGTCCAGGGCAGGACATAGGGAGGCACTATACTATGATGGCTAAGACTACAGACAGCGACCAGGCAGGAATAAACGGAATCACATGTTCTTGGAGGACAAGCTGCTTACTTTTTCAAGGAATAAATTTATCTATGTAATCTTTTCTAACAGTTACATATTATTTTTTCTGTGTTAAATATTTTTGGCCACTTTAATTTTTCTTTAACTTTTTTATTTATTTTACATACTAACTACAGTTTCCCCTCCCTAGTCTACTCCCAGATACTCACTTCCCCATTCACTCCTCCATCTCCATTAAGAAAGGCGCAGGCTTCCCATGGGCCTGCACAAAGCAAGACACATCAAGTTGAGGCAGGACCATGCTCCTCCTCCTAAATCATGGGCAGGCAAGGCAATCCAGCATGAGGTAAGGTCTTCCAAAACTCACTTTAATTCTTAACAGAATAAGTATTTCAAGGCAAATGTAAAAGAGGTATTTTTCTCCAGGTTTTTATATCTCCTTTCTCAAGTTTATCAAAGTAAAATGATATAAAAATTGCAACTATAATAAATATATTACAAGAAGAAGGCCCATCTGAAGTTTCTTCGTCGGTTTCCCTAAACTAACTACTTGCATAATTAGTGATCATCCAGGGCAGAACACAGAAATTTCTGTTGTTTACATGTACCTTATAGTGAAATCCATCAATTAACGGAATCAATTTGTTAGTAATTACATAAGAAACATTTTATTTATTTATTTATTTTGAATTTTCGAGACGGGTTTCTCTGTAGCTTTTTTGGTTCCTGTTCTGGAACTAGCTCTTGTAGACCAGGCTGGCCTCGAACTCACTCACAGAGATCCGCCTGCCTCTGCCTCCCAAGTGCTGGGATTAAAGGCGTGTGCCACCACTGCCCGGCATAAGAAACATTTTAAACTTTACAGTAATTTTAGAGATAAACTTATTTATTTTGATGTTTACAATACATGTGACTTTATTTTATCATAACACCAAAAACTTAGAGCAACAATAGAACTCTGGAACAATTTTTCTGGTGTGATAGGAATGGCAAGAGACAAAGATGATTTGCATTCAAAGAACCATCATATTTCAGAATTAAGTATGACAGTTCATTTTTTCACTTGTACATCTTAAAAAAACCTATTTTCTAATTTTTCTCTTATTTCACATTCATGGTGGTTTAATGATTATTCAGAAAATTAAATTTTTATGTCAATCTTAAATTTAATAACTAAGCTGAATAACCAACTACTCATGATTCAAACCTTGTTCTAGTCATGCAGCATCACTTTTTCTGCCGTTTAAAAAACTGGAAATGGGGCTGGAGAGATGGCTCAGAGGTTAAGAGCATTGCCTGCTCTTCCAAAGGTCCTGAGTTCAATTCCCAGCAACCACATGGTGGCTCACAACCATCTGTAATGGTGTCTGGTGCCCTCTTCTGGTGTGCAGGCATACACACAGACAGAATATTGTATACATAATAAATAAATAAATATTTAAAAAAAAAAACTGGAAATGGTGCCCATAAGAGGGCAAAGGGCACATCATGTAAGGCTGCTTGCTGCCACGTGCACACGCATGAAACAAAAAATAAAACCCCAGACTCATAAACGAATAGGTTAACAAATGTGAGTGACTGGCTTGGTGTGTTGATGCACTCCTTTAATCCCAGCACTTGGGAGGCAGAGGAGGGCAGATTTTCTGAGTTTGAGGCCAGCCTGGTCTACAGAGCAAGTCCAGGTAGGTCAGCCAGAGGTATAGATAAACACTGTCACACACACAAACAAACAAAACATAAAAAGAAAGAGGCAGAAAGAAAGAATGTGAGTGACTAATGAACGGAGCAAATCTTTTGCATGAAGGTTTTTTTTCCCCTTAATATAGATGCAGTTTTAAATAAAGGTGTTGGAAAGGAATTTATTTATGGACACTGAGGTAATTCATGGGTTACTTCATATAAAGGATCAGAGGCAGATAAGCCCAGAGTTTTCTTGGCAAAGTCAATACAAATCTCAGTAAATGTGTAAAGTTGACCTGTTTAAAAAGCCATCTTGACTCTCCAGATGACACGTGATTATAATCCTTTCCTCCTGTCCGCCCCTGGCTCAGTAAGGAATCTAGGAAGACAAGAACCAGTTGGCGCTTGTGCCATTAGCATAGGCAGTGTTTTGCTAGCGAGTATATCATGATTTTCATGCTCACCACCGCCTGGCTCATGCTAAGACTTTTGATCACAAGGTGAAATATGAGCACCTAATATGATGATAACGTGTGAGTACAGGTGTGTAAAAGCCAAGCTGCATATGGTGGATGGAGGGTCAAGAGTCACTCATTGCTTTCTGTCTCGTTTAAGACAGGGCATCCTCGCAGAAGGAGAGAGAGCACGAGCAAGGAACTCAGGACCGCGAGGGGTGCACCCACACACTGAGACAATGGGGATGTTCTATCGGGAACTCACCAAGGCCAGCTGGCCTGGGTCTGAAAAAGCCTGGGTCAAAACTGGTCTTGCTGAACATAGCGGACAATGAGGACTACTGAGACCTCAAGAACAATGGCAATGGGTTTTTGATCCTACTGCACGTATTGGCTTTGTGGGAGCCTAGGCAGTTTGGATGCTCACCTTACTAGACCTGGATGGAGGTGGGTGGTCCTTGGACTTCCCACAGGGCAGGGAACCCTGATTGCTCTTTGGGCTGACTGACGAGGGAGGGGGACTTGATTGGGGGAGGGGGAGGGAAAGGGGAGGCGGCGGTGGGGGAAGAGACAGAAATCTTTAATAAAAAAAAAAGACAGGGCATCCTCTGGTCTCTGTGCCCCATCTCGCCCGAGAAGCACGGGGACTCCCGAGGACCACCACCTGAGTGGGTCCTGGAGATTGAAGCTCAGGCCCGCACAGCAGCACACACAGCAAGCACTTTACTCAGTGAGCCTCTCCACAGCGCCTTGAAGTTTGAACCCTTAGATCACTGAAAACTATGTTCATGATTAAATTATTTAAAATGTACAAACCAAATGCATCTACAGCAGCAGATTGACAGTGTCTTTATTATTCAAATAAAAATGTGTAGATGGTTTACCTGATGTCCTTCTCAAGTTGAGCTGTATACTTCATCAGTGAATCAATCTTGGAATCCCTCTGCCGCACAGACTCTATGAGGTATCTGTAGGGTTGCTGAGTCTGATTTAGCAGTGAATTGGCTCTGTCACGCTAAAGAAACAAACATGTCATTAAACTGCAGAAAACGTAACAAACTGAAGTCACCCCAATGCTTCGTAGCAATTATTCTCTTGACATGGCGTCTGAAACCAGGACCTCATGCCCGCACTGAGCTACACACCACATATCCTGATCTCGTGCCCGCACTGAGCTAAATGCCACACCCAGGGTGCACCACGGTTCTTGCACATGAAATGCTAAACAAATCTGTATACATATGGAGGTTAAAAAATGACTAATCAATATAATAATCAATGTAATAATGACTACAAACACTAAAGGAAAATGTAAAATACTAATAGATATTAATTTGGAAGAATGGGCACCCACAGTTTCTATTTGTTCATCTGAGCAACCAAATGACACACACACATGATACATACATCACAAACACATGCACATACATATTATTTCCTTTTAATGAAAATTCACTACATAAAATACAATCTTTCACTTAGACTATTTATTTGCTTGTTTATTTATTTTTTGGTTTTTCTGAGACAAGTTTTTTTTTCTCCTGTAGCTTTGGAGCCTGTCCTGGAACTAGCTCTTAAAGACCAGGCTGGTTTTGAACTCAAAGAGATTCACCTGCCTCTGGCTCCCGAGTGCTGGGATTAAAGGCGTGCTTAGACTTTATTATAATTTTTTTTAGACTTTATTTTTTAAAATATGTAACAATGGGCTGGAGAGATGGCTCAGAGGTTAAGAGCATTGCCTGCTCTTCCAGAGGTCCTGAGTTCAATTCCCAGCAACCACATGGTGGCTCACAACCATCTGCAATGGGGTCTGGCGCCTTCTTCTGGCCTGAAGGCATACACACTGACAGAATATTGTATACATAATAAATAAATATTTAAAAAATAAAATATGTAACAAGCATTCAATGATTATTTCTGCATATCTTCTTTAGTTTTTAAAACATATAACTCATGTACCTGAATCATTTTGTATGTCTAAGAATTTAAAAAAACTATAGTTAACATACTAAAAAACCAAAAACCAAACCCACAGAAGTTATCATTTAAACCTCCCCTCCCCCAAAGTAAGGCTTCTCTGTGAAGGTCTCGTCACAGTTTTGTCTCTTAAGTGGGAGTTACAGGAATACACCACCACACCTGCTTACACTTTCTTCTTAAGTCTACTTTAGCATCTACACATTTACAAATTTTAGGCTCTATCTGCACTTTAGTACTTCACTATTTCTGAGGAAGGCAGTCTACTCATTTTCTGAAAACAGTAAGTGAAGCCAGGCATAGTGTCCTCTGCCTTTAGTCCCAGCACTTGGGAGGGGGAGGCAGGTGGATCTCTGTGAGTTCAAGGTCAAGCAGAACTACAGAGCTGAGTAGGGAGACCCTGTCTCAGAATAACTAAGGAGCCAGAAAAAGTAATCTGTTAAGTGGGCCAGTGAGACAGCTCAGCCAGTAAAGACCCTAGCAGAGAAGGCTTGTGACCCGGATGCAATGCCGTGACTACACACAAAGGTAGAAAGAGAACCAACTCCAAATTTGTTGTGTGACCTCCCCATCTGTGCTGTGACTTGGTTGTCCATGTGTGCACACACATATCTCATACTCATAAAAACACTGAAAACCCAAGAGAACAGTAGGTGACTAGCCTCCCTGACGGTGAGGAGAGAGGGTGCAGGGAGATGGGGAGGCGGGGCTAAATGTGCAAAGTTTAGAAAGAAAGAACAAGCCCAGGCAGCAGGCAGAACACGGAGTAAGAGAAAATGCTTGAACAGTGGAGAGAACATCTTGGAAGGGCAAGTTTCCCCTTCTAGCTAGGGTTTTGGCGTACTTTTCTTTTGTTCTGATGTTCATTCTTTAAAATCCACTGTGACGTCACAGGAATCTTACCTTACTAAATTACCTTAGGAACATTCAACTATGGGGCCCAATGAAGTTCTCCTAACCTGTATAACCAGTTTCTTTAGTCAATTATATCAAACAATTGCCTTGACTTTGTTTTCACACAATTGACCCTGGCTGAATAAACTCAAGTGACAAGTGGCTTTGTGTTTCAAAGTGCAGTCTTCTGGCTAGGCCTGTGAGGTGGGCCCAAAGGCAGAGGGAAGGCTGAGCATTTACAAACACTAGCTAGTAAACTTTGCTTGGGAATGAACAGTGTGAAACTTTCAACCTCCTTCAGCTGCACAGAGTACGGCAGGTAGCAGGTACGGCAGCTGTCCTACACGTTTTAGGCCACTTTGTTTTTCACAACAGCAACTACACACATTTGATCTGAAGACAGCAAAACGAGCCAAGGTATCAAGTTCACGTGCTGGGACTTCCTCACACTCACAGAAGCTACACTGTGACTGTTTTAAGGATCTATTTTTTTATAAATGTGTGTAGGGTCTTGAGTCTCCCCGACATCTGCCCCCCATCCCCCGTTCTCTAGGGCCTAGTCCATACTTGTCCTTGTAGTGGCAGGTGAGTTCACGCCCACCGAGCATAACCCCACTTTCTCCACCCCAGTCTATTTTCACTCCCTGGCAGAGAACAATATAACTCTTAATAAAAAGAGGTGATATTTTTTATTTGTGAAAAAGTTAATTGAACAGAATTTAATTCCTCTGATTAAAAAATTTTCCCAATACAGTTTTAAGGCCTTTTTTCTCTGGTTACAGTAATAAGTGTTCAGAAAGTTTCCCAATCCCTGTTGCCTGTTGTTAGTGAGCGTTTCCTTATAGGAAGGCCTCAGTAGCCAATGACTCAGGCACCATACAACACTGGACTCAGGATTCAGGCCATGACACAACAGTTTATAGGACTGTTGTTCTTCCTTGGTTTCAAACACTGGTGTATGACTCAGAGGAAAGTAGTACCTGCTTAAAACATAATTATACTTTGCATTTAAAAATTAATTCAAATTACACTGAGATGACAATCCAAAATTATTTTTCTCTAAAGATTTACAAAATATAAACATGACCACATTTTGTTGTGTGTCCTTAAGAAATTTTTTAGCACATTTTCATAAGGCCAAAAGGCGTCTCTCTCTCTTCTGTCTTCTGTTAAATCTTTCTAGAATACCTACTGTGTTGTAAAATACCACACATGCTAAGAAGCACCTGGTGGATGCATTTGGCCCAAGACAATGGAGCATGCTAGTGAGCTTCAGTGCTCAGGTCTATGAAAAGGTTCAAGGCTCAACACGGAAACAGTCAGTCAGAAGAGGCTTGTGAACCTGGAAAAATACAGAGTATTTATGATTCTGTGCCTCCTCGAGTCCAAGTACAGATGTAATGGGAATGAAGGGCCCGCGAGAGCTGAGAGGAGGATTTCAACTTCATCTGTTAGGAATTTCCTTCTCTTTCAAAGCTCCTCCTGAGAAAGTCAAGTTTGGAGTCTAAAAAAATTTTAAATTATTTCTTATATGTATACCACATGCATGTTTGGTGTTTGCAAATGTCAGAAGAGGGTATCAAGTCCTCTGGAACTGGAGTTACAGATGATTGTGAACCATTATGTGGGTACCAGGAATTGAACCTGGGTTCTTGGTAAGAGCAACAAGAACTCTTCATTTCTCTCGCCCTCAAGAAATTCAATCCCCACCCCCCAAGATAGGGTTTCTCTGTAGCTTTGGAGCCTGTTCTGGAACTAGCTCTTGTAGACTAGGCTGACCTTTGGATTCACAGAGATCTACCTGCCTCTGCCTCCTGAGTGCTGGGATTAAAGACATGCCATCGCCCGGCAAGAAATTCATTCACCTGTATAGTAAGTTCAGACTGAAGTGCGAGTATGTGGAGAATCCGCATAGAGTTTTGCAAATGGTTCTTAGCATATTGCCTTGGCTTTAGAATAACTGATAGTTTTCAAGAATGGACCATAATCAAGATTACTGTTTTGGCACTGCTATTATCTTTATTTGAAAACAATTGTTGAGCAGTGGTAGCACAACACTCAGGAGGCAGAGGCAGGTGGATCTCTGTGAGTTTGAGGCCAGCTTGGTCTACAGAGCTATTTTCAGGACAGCTGGGGCTGTTACATTGAGAAACCCTGTCTTGAAACCACCACCTCCACAAAAAACAAAAAAACAAAAAAACAAAAACAAAAAACACAACAACAATAAGCAAAAAGCAAAACAAAACAAACATCACAAAGGACCCGAAAACCAAAACCCAACAACTGTCTTGCTATAAAAGCCAGGCAGCTGGGATTGAAGGCAGGCTCCATCATGCCAGCTTGAAGACTTCTCCCAAGGTTTGACACAGACCTGCTTGTCCCTAGAGTGCATTAACCACTCACATGGAAGAGACAGGCACATGTGCTGATCTTTAGTTTAACCAATAATTAGTTCTTTTAAGGCAGGGTAACCCAGGCTGGCCTTGAACTTGGGATGGAACTGAGGATAATCTTGAACTCCTCCTCCTCCTCTTGCTGTTACCTGCAAGTTCTGGGATTACGGGCTGATGCCACCATGCCTGGTTTACTGGGTGCTGGGGATCAAAGACAGAAATTGGTGCACGTGAAGCAAGTATCCTACCATCTGTGCCCCATGTCCGTTTCTGTGGCTCATCATTAAAGCAAATGGTACTTTTTATAAAGTATCACAGCAGAGCAGCCTCCAAACACAAGAGGTAGAGGAACAATGGTTAATGATTATGTAACCTTGTTAAAAACTGGTTCTGGGGCTGCGTCACAGTTCCTGTGAATTTTGTTTGTCCTGACACCCTCTTTATTTCAAATTCTTCTTTAAAACTTGTCATGAGTCACCAATTTAATAGAGCACTCATATCCAGTTACATGACATCCTAAATGCCAGCTCCACAAGGATGAAGTGCCACATGCAATACGTGCAGAGAAAACCAGCTCCCAAATTCCTTCCTAGGACAGAGGTGGAAGTTCTGTTAATCTTGTTAAGATGGTAAGTTAGAATTTCTCTCTGGAAAAGTTGCTTTCCACATGCATTGGGGGAAGTGGCAGCAAGGACTGTCAAGCTCACAAGTGACAGAAATTGGTCATGACTGTCTCCCCAGGAAGAGAATT